CGGCGGCGACCGATGTCAGGGCAGAAGGGACTCGGGTTTCCGTGGCGATGACTTTTCGTCTTCGGTGCCATTTTTTTTTTTTTCCTCCAGACTCGGCCTCCGACGCTAACACTTTAGTCGAAAAAAAAGCACAGTGCCACAGAGTATTTTAACGTTCCAAATAAATAAATAAAGAACTATTTTGGACCCATTTCCACTGCCAGGTACCAGGAACCGATGGATGTTATGGTTGTAAACAACGGACCGACCGTTCAACCCGATCACAGGTCAGTCCGACTCCGATCACGTCGGCAAATGTTCCTCCGTTTTTTCAGACAGGTGATGACTGATTGTGGACTGAAACAGTTCCATATTTCCATTCAGTTCCTGGTACTACTACACCTGGTCTAAAAAGTCCTGCAAAGGAAACGCGCCTTGCCATGCTTTTATTTTCTCACATGTTTTCGTTTTGTTTAGATGCCATGTTAACAATAAAATTATTTGTTGTACCTGATTTTGATTTGTCTACTTCCTGTACCTGATTTGTTTACTTCCTGTACCTGATTTGCCAACTTCCGGTTTGAAGAACGAGTCGAACAACGACACTACAACACACACATGACTAGGACGGAACTTTATCATAAATGAAAATTGTGAGTAGATATTCTCGACTTCACTTTTTTTTTCTACTATGGCGACCCCCTGGGGACTGGACAAGGTTTATAACATTTGTGTTTTATTTTTTTAATACTTAAATGTCCAGTTGTTGAATCTTGTTTTTTTTAAAACCTAAAATAATTAAATATTCAACGTATTTATGCGACCCGCGTCGCCATCTTTAATCTCGTGAAGCTCATCATCGCGAGAACGAGACGTCTTTCAGGTAAACGATATATTTTATACTGGTTAATTACAGTGGAAAATACAAAAATATAGTTGAATTATGTTTGTCGTACTACAGTGATCGGACATGCGCCGCCATCTTTGCCTCTAAGATTTCTGCCAAAGAAAAGGAAGGCCGAGAACAAACCACAAGACTCGACGTTTGAAATGAATGCATGAGAGTGGCGCCACCTTGTGGGCGCCCTCCGTATTTTTATTGATTAAAAACAGAAATACACGTCATTCGTGTTCTTAAGTTTTAAAGGGAAACGCGCGTTCTACACTTAAAACAAGATTTCACCACTAGATGTCGCCCTGCCCTTTCCACAGGAAACCTTTCCGTCTGTGTTTGGTGACGTAGCCCAGGAAGATGCAATAGATAAAAAGCAGTTCGTGAAGCCAACTTAAGAAGGTACTAGCTCGGCCTCTCGACAAGTACTAGCCTTGCAGATACTTTACAAATGTAAAAAAAAAAAAAAAAATTTAATAGCACGCTGTACCAAGGCTAGCTATCTATCTTTTCCCGATCGCTGCTGGTCGGGGTGCTGTATCCCTCTCTCTCCAGTAGAAGGAGCATCTCAACGTGGATGGTCTGGGGGAACAGATCCACAGAGATGGCTCGCACTGGTCTGAAGGGGGCGCCCTGAACCCGGTTGGAAGGAGCTCTGCAAAGGCTGGAAAACAAACGCGGACATTTTTTTTTAATTCCGTTTGTTTACCGTATTTGCGATACTGCAGTACATCAGTGAAACTGCAGTAGAACTCACTCTACGAAGTTGTTCATGGCTGCCTTGGCGTTACACGACACGTAAACCAGCCTCTTCAGGTGCTCCGCCCTCCTCATCGCCAGGATCACC